GCTTGGTTTCGGTTTTGATGTAAACAAGATCTTCTCCACATTGATGTTCTCTTTTTCCGGTATATTTTTAATGAACAATGCAGCAGCGCCGCATCTAGTGGCTTCAACTGGATAGGCTAACAAAAGCATTATAATGCAGTGACACTTGCATCGTCGTCGCATCTCGTGCGCCACTTATAAGGCTGCCTCCTTGACGCACACCTAAAATTCGAATGCAACGTTTTTGCATTTGAATGTGGATTTTTATTTTAAATTCAGTAAATGTGTAAAAGGTATTGAATTAATTTGCCATCCTTCTAGAACAATGTGCATTTATGTTAAATTATCAAGTTTAGTTATTTTTATTTCTTTATTGCAAAATGCTAAAACTGGCACCGTTTTGGAGAGAAATGGGCTCTCATTTTACTCTTACTCAAGTAGTTTTTTGGACAAGTACTTTTACTCTACTCACACTACATTTTTTGGAAGGTAATGGTACTTTTACTTGAGTATATTTTTTCAGTACTCTTTCCACCGCTATAAAGCGGTCTATCGAAATAAAGTGTAAACGAGAAGAATAACTGCTGACACACCTCCATCTAAGCTGCGGGATGCCCTCTTACTGGCGGAGCGCTGGAAATGCGGAGCGGGTCGGTCAATCACGGAGCTGGCCTGGCGGGTCTGGGCCTGAGTTCGGCCGCTGTAGCGGAACTTCGATCCCAGAGCCAGGAACTTCCTGGGAGTGGTGGCCGCTTCTGTGGACGTCAACCTGAGACCACAGAGTTCACGTCTCTTCATAATGTACTTGGACTCATGAATTCACAAAAACACACAGTCACTAAAGATGCGAATGCATGTTGTGATGATGTACTGTTTGACATTCATACCTGAAGAATGTGTGATGCTCCACACACACTTTCCACAGTTTCTTGGAGGCCTTGTAGTTGGGCAGTTTAAAGCCAATGGCGCTTTCGTAATGTTCCAGCTAAAAAATATAGTACAACAAAGGCTGACTGAAATATCATTCTGAAATTAATAAAAAAATATATATTTCATATATGCGAGTATATGTGTGCCTTCTTAAAGATATAAAGACCATAAAGATCTGATGTACCATAAAGATGTACTGTTTAATCTTAGATTTTAATTTCCAGTTAATTGTACTGAGTGAAAAATAGACAACTTAATATATTTAAACAACATGATCAATTTAAAATTGTTTTATTCATGTATGTTGTATCAAACATCTGACATTGTAAATAAATAAATAATTTTATGTTTCAAACATCAATATCTGGATAATATTATAAAACAATGGTTAAAACTGAAACAATACAATTATTTTAGAAAATATTAAGGAACTGTGAAATTGTTTTTTTGTAATAAAAGTATGATTATATTTTCATATTTAATTTTATTTAAAAGAACAGAAATGAGCTATTTTTAAACATGTAAAAATTATTTTTTAATTATAAAAATGTTAAAATAATTCATAAAAAATTAATCAAGAAAATATTGAAAAAAAATAAAGAAAAATAATAATTAAAAATATATTTTAAAGCATAAAAAATTATCACAACTTGCAACATCAAAACAAAATAAAATGTCATGCGACCTGAATAAATTTGGTATTTCTAAGGCATATCTTTGTACACTTACATCAGATGGTCGTATCTTGATGAAGAAACTGCTGCGTTTGTAGGAGACTTTGAGAACTTTCGGCCAGGGAAATCGATTGATCCTCAGCTTGTCCTTATACACCATCAGGCCACTGGAGCAAACGCCCAGCATTATATCCACTCCATCCAGATCCTGACAGAGAGATGAAAAAAAGAACAGGGTAAAAATATATAAACATAGGTCAAAGATTTTGCAATTACAAACTTCCACCACTACGGGGCGTCCTTGCTTCTCTTTTAAAAAGTGAACTCCATAATTTATTTAAATCCATGGCTTGATGCAAACAGATTGACCTGGTTTCAGCTACCAAACCAGAGCAGTGAAAGGACATGCAACATCACAAGCACTCCTGTGAGATGAAGGATATTTCCGTCTGACAGATGATTTTATGACAGCTCAGATCGATGATTTCACATAAAGAAGGCAGTGGTTTAATCAGTGCTGGGGAAAGTAACATTGTCTAACTGGGACATGTAACTGGATGTATTTTAAGTCACAGCATGCCTCAGTAAACGGAGACTTAATGTATTTATGTTATGTAAATATTTTATTATTATTATTATTATTACTATCCAGTCAACAACCAAATTAATGTAAAAAAAAAAATACAAAAAAACATTTATCAATAATTACAAAACCAATTTAATGTAAAGTATTTCAATAAAATAGGTTTTATGCCATTTTGACATATAATCTTTTTTATTTATTTATTTATTTATTGAATGTTAAAAATTTTATTAATAACATTTATTTATTTGATATTCAAGTTTATTTCAATTGTATTTTTATTTTTAGAAAATATTAGAATGTATTGCAAACCTCATAAAAAACACATTTAATATTTAGTATGACAAACAACATTTTCTGAAGGTTAACCATTTTTATTTATTTATTTGTTTGTTTTTATTATTATTCATCATATTTATGAAAAGTGTCTCCTGTCGATCTACTGAACCTTTGCCTGGTGGAGATCAACACCATACATGGCCAGTTTTTTAGCATTCTCCAGGAACATCATATCAGCCTGAGCCGGACTCATAGATCTGTAGAAAATTTAAACAAACAAAAATAATAATAAATACATTTTTTTTTTAAATACACTATTCAGGTATCATAACAACATTACCTTGCTAAAGAAAAGCAAAGTGCAAATACTTATATTTTAATCTTAACCTCCTGTAAATGTGCATTTATCTTGCCGGTATTAACACATATTTCCCAAGCATCCATTTATGATAAGAATATATGTGCGTAAATCATCAGCCCAGCAGTAAGAAGCAGTCATGATCACCTGTATGTGCGGTGAAGCTCCATGACTTTCTCCTCCAGCTCTTTGGTCTGTCCTGGGATGAGCTGGAGCTCCTTGGCATAGTCAGTGCCGTGCACCTCGGGGTCGTACTCGCCCAGCTCAGACTGCAGGGCGTAAGAGCCCAGCAGGGCCAGGGTCACGAAAGAGCAGGGCAGACAGCCGTTCTTGATGTCCTTCCGCAGCTGCAAACACAAGTAGTACCTGCAGAGCGCAAATAATTTAGACATAAAGACATTATGTGCCAAGTTATCAAATGTTACAAGTTGGGACAAGGTGTTGTTGCAAAATCTAATACATGAGAGTCCAGAGCTGTTACCATGACAACAGCAGTAAAGTGACGTCAGCGTGCCGCTGTGATTATTCAGGGTGAAAGGGCTTTTGTAATTTACGAGTGTGATAATGAAACTGGCTAGAGAATTGCATGCTCACTTGGTAGGAAACAGCAGGAGGCTTTCGATTTTATTAATGATTTAATCTGGCAAGTATCGGAGATTAGTTTTAAAATTAGTGAGTGAGCAAGCGAGAGATGGTGGGAAATGGCGGGAAATGGATATCAGTAAGGATGAGAATTGTGAGGAATTGAACTATTCTAGTTGTGATTCCAATTGTCAATTCACAAAATTCACTTTTTTTTGTGGCACTTGTAAATTAAGTAGCAGTGCCACTGCTGAATGCATTTTTGACACAAGGTACTGTAGTAGGGTTTTCCACTTGCTTTTGTGGAACAAGAACTGTTACTCAGATGTCCTGATAAATTATTTGTTTCCTGCTAAGGCTGCACAATATCGGAACACTTCTACAATTATTGAGATGATTTCGAAGGGCAATGCATTTGAATATAAAAATATGCAAAAATGGTTATAGTACTAAAGTACAGAGCCCCGCACATGGCATGCAGGAAAAAAATAGTAGGCTAAATCGTGTGCACGATTTATTATTTCGTTCCCTCGATTTATAAATTGGGCGCACGATTTACTATTTCGTTCCCTTGATTTCCTAATTCGTTCCCTCGATTTGCTAAATCGGGCACACGATTTATAAATCGAGAGAACTAATTAGTAAATTGTGCGCATGATTTAGCAAATCGAGGGAACGAATTAGTAATCGTGTGCATGTTTTAGCAAATCGAGGGAACGAATTAGCAAATCGAGTGAAGGAATTAGCAAATCGAGGGAAGGAATTAGCAAATCGAGGGAACGAAATAGTAATCATGTGCACGATTTATTTATTTTTTCTTGCATGTCATGTGCAGGGCTCCGTACTAAAGTCCAGGACTGAACAAAAATGTGTATGTTCACACTTGGGTATAATCTTTACATTAACCAACTCAAACCTCTTTCAGTAGCCATAAAGATTTTAAAAAAAATAATAATAATAAAAAAAAATTATATTCCGCATTTCCACTGTTGGCCCATTCAATATGACTATAAAAGAATAATAATAATTTCATTTTTAAATATTACACTATCAAAGTTTTATTTTAGTGGATTGCCAACAAATAAATATGTCACATGTTTGTGAAGCTTGGCACTGTGTTCATTTACACACACACTGTCCAAAATACAGTGTTTTTGTATCTCAGACTGGCTCAGTTTACAGTAAATGAACACAGTGCTGTACTTCATTCCTGTCCCTGATGTCTAGGATTATAGCTTTATAGAAATAAAATCAATTTCGAAATAGGGCTTAGTGCGACTATCAAATCACGAAGGCTGTGATTTCAATAAATAAATATATGCACTGTGTATTTAAGAGTGAAGCACGGCACTGTGTTCATTTACACGCGTGTGGCTCATGATATGGTGTTTCAGCGTCCCAGGCTCGGTTTACACTAAATTAACACAGTGCCGTGCTTCACTCTAAAACACATATACAGCAGCACATATATTTATTTAGTTAAATCGCAGCCTTTGCAATCCGATAATCCCACTAAGCCATACCACAAAATCAATTTTATTTCTATATGGCTATAACCCTAGAGATCAGGAACAGGAAACATTAAGGAGAGACAGGAAAAGGGACGGGTGATTGAGGAAGTTTATTTAAAAGTCAAATCATCTGACCAGTTAGCATATTATCCATAAAATAAAGTGCTGTTCACCTGGTGATGTCTTCTGATAGCTGGGCTGGATCAGGTGGGTAGAACTTCACATTGAATGTGAAATCGTAGTTGCTGCCTAGATAAATACAAGCATAATTTACAACAGGACCTACAGAAAACTAGACACTGATTTTCTGATGGTTATTTTATATGTCAAAGAGATGAACGGCATGATGCTACTCACCTTGTACTTGCCGCCTGATCTCCTTGGTGAAGTCCAGCCATGTCTGAAAGACAAATAAAGCTTTAACTAAAGACCTGTGTACACCAAGAACTACATTATGGCTATTATGGCTATATTAGTATCCACACCAATGAAACACTCTGCATTTAAGTCGTCTGCCACTTTAAAAGCTCAAGCTCTTTAAAGTCGGGTGGATTCTGATTGGTTGTCAATGTTTTTATCGTTCAACAGCTGAAATTTTTTTTTTGTCTGTGTAGTTATTGTTATAACTGTGGCGTGAACTTATAATTATATTTTTAGAAAATTACCGTAGAATGATTATTAAAACTTCATAGTTAGTTACTGTTAAAAGACAGGGTTTTACTGCTATCAGAACTTCTGATGCAAGTTAAGAAAGCAAATCGTTTAAAAGACAATACAACCATAATTTAAAAGAAAAACATGTACATGTCTTTCAGTTTTGACACTTCAAAAGCTAATCTAAACCTGAAGAAAACATGCTGTATCAAGAAAAAAAAAATAGCTGCCTACAGTTAATGTTAAAGGGGTCATATGATGCGATTTCAATTTTTTCTTTCTCTTTGGAGTGTTACAAGCTCTTGGTGCATAAAGAAGATCTTTAAAGTTGCAAAGACTAAAGTCTCAAATCCAAAGAGATATTCTTTATAAAAGTTAAGAGTCAGCCACACCTACCTAAAACGGCTCGTTCTAACACGCCCCCACATATCTACCTCACTATGTGGGAAGATTTGCATAACGCCGCCCAAATGTTCACGCAAAGAAAGAAGGCGTAACTTTTATTCTCGCTGTAGTGCAACAAATGCCTCGTTTATAATGGGTTTTCATGTTTTTGAATATGGTCACAATATGGTAAGGGGCATAACATTTCCGTCACAACCTTGAGGTAGTCGGCCAATCACAACGCACTGGGTAGCTGGCCAATCACAGCACACCTCGCTTTTTCAGATGTGTTTTTTGAACCTTAAACCGCATAAACACATTTCATTACACCAAATACACAAAATAATGTTCTTTTTAGCAGCATCATATGACCCCTATAAAAGAGCAAGAGTGAGTGCTAACAGATTGAGGCACCTTTATGTTTGGCGTCTCCCATATGGCCAGACCGTAATAGTCCTTCTCTAATAGGTTCAGGTGGTCGCACACTTTTGCAAACAGATCCTGGCCTTTGGCATGTTTCTGGAAACAAAGACATGTCGTTAAAACAGAAGCAACTCTATTTCAGTATTTTAGTCAGACAACAACTGTAGTCCTTATATAGAAACTTGTTAGCGACATCATGTTTTTAAAGCATACGGTGACTTCAAAATTTACAAGAGATACGACTGTAATTTATTTTGTAGAACAAAATACGAGAGTCCAATAAATTTCTGAGGGAATATGAATTGAGCAGCTCTATTAGCAAGTGATGTAATGTATGGAGTAGCATACTACTGTAATATTTTTTTCTATCCCTTCACTCTATAGTATGGAAACCCATTTCTGCCACACATGAAAAAATAATGCTTTGGTAAATCAGAATTATAATATCAAAAATATGAGAGAAAAAGTGAAAATGATGAGATACTAAGTCATAATTATGAGATGAAAAGTCAAAATTATTACATAAATTGAAATTACCCATAAAGTCATAATCATGACAGTAAATCAGAATTATGAGAATAAAAGTCAAAATGACAAAAAGTTAACAAAAACAATTGACATAAATAGTTGAAATGATGACAAAAGTCATAATTGTGTCAGAAAGTTGAAATTATAAGATAAAAAGTCATAGTTATGAGAGAAAGTTGAAATTATGAGATATGACAATGTTAATGTGACAATTTTTTTACTTTTTTACCCCATAATTTCAAGTATTTATCACATAATCATGACTCATGATTATGAAATAAAAAGTGAAAATTATGAGATACTAAGTCAAAATTGAGATAAGCCAAAATTATGACATAAGTAAAAACTAACAACCAATTTGCATACAATTTTGAAATGATGACATAAAAAGTCATAATTATGCTAGTAAATCAATATTATAAAATAAAAAGTCAGTTATGACAAAAGCCGAAAATTATGAGATATGACAATGTCAGTACAACAATGTCAATATGACAGACGTTTTTGACGTTAATAATTTCAACTATTTATCTCATAATCATGACTCATGATTATGACATAAAAAGTGAAAATTACGAGATACTATGTGGCAGAAATGTGCTTCCATAATATAAAATGTATACTGTGCACAGTAAGCAAATTGGCTCTATGCATGGAATACCCAGATGACTACATATTCCAAAGTACACAACAGAGCACATTGTGCTGGATACTGTATCCCACAATGCAATGTGTATGACTTCACTTTCCAGGGTGAATGAACTGGAAGTTATTAGGGACATCATGTTTTTGATTAATTACTATTGTGGGACTGCCAAAGACGAAGACATTTTTACAAGATGATAACTAGTTCACATGCAAAGTATGATCATGTGACAAAGTAGCACACTGCTGTTTGAAACGTGGAATTATGCAGACTGTTTGTCCTACTATTTTTGACGTATACAGTTCATGTTCTATAAAAAATAGTTGACTTGTATTCCATTCTGAACATGCCTCTTGTATGGAAATCGAACTGTTAGCTGAGCTCGCTACATGCTAACAGCAGAAACAGCTGTGAAGGTAAAGCGAGACTTGCGGGTCAAGTTGCTGCTAATAAGGATGTTCTGTTTCGCTTAGGATGCTGTCTCTGTAGAGACATGAACCACACGGTACGATGGCAACAAAAACAGTCCAAAGTGTCACATCAGCAGAAATAGTCTCTCGGTAGTCTGAGAGTTAATTAGCAAAGGAAGTAAAAGCCCTTGAGCAACGCTTGAGTTTCAGAGTCGCTCTCCTGGGACTAGACAACGATACGCCGCACTTGATAAGCAACAAAAGCGGCAGTTGTGTGCTCTGTGTGTGTGCGTATGTCGCTTACTTCCAGCTCACACTCGAAGAGAGAATCATCCAGCAGCTTGACTTTGCAGTGCATGATCCTGGGGCGGCGAGATGCTTTCTGCTTCTTCCCCTCCTCCTCCTCCTCCTCCTCCACCGTGTTCTCCTCCTGTTTCTCTTCCTCTTTTTCTCCTTCCTCCTTTACTTCTGTTTCTGCCGCACATGCATCTTCCGGCTTGGCCTCTTCCTCTACTTTCTCTTTTTCTTTCTCGCGTTCCTTGTCTTTCTCTCCCTCCTCTCCTTTGACCTTGTCCTCGTTTTTCTTCTCCTTCTTCTCTTTTTTCTCCTTCTTCTCTGCTTTCTCTTTTTTCTCTGGCTTCTCCTTCTTCTCCGGTTTCTCCTTATCTGCTTTCTCCTTCTTCTCTTTCTTCTTTTCCTTCTTCTCCTTCTTTTCCCCCTTCTCCCCCATTTCTCCCTTACCGGACTCCAGCTCGGCGTCTACCTTCTGATCCGCTACGATTTGCTGGAGGAAGACAAATTTAAACATTTTAAATATAAATATACATTAGATTATTACACAACTAATTTGCTGGAGGATGACAAATTTGTACCTTTACTAGAATCAGGGTTTCTTACAGAATGCTTCTTTCAGAGTTTTTTAAATTAGGCCAACTTGCTTAACAATAAACAATCATTTTGTATGTGTAAACAAACTATGTGTAAATTAAAAGCCATTTTTTCAGTCTCTGATGATACTAACACTGACTATGAAAAATTTTGCAAATGTATCCTCGTGGTTTAAAGCAGACCACCAATAATTACATGATCAGTAAGTCATGGTAAAGTTTTTCCATTCAACATTTTTAATATTCAATCATAACAACTCTTGGAATATTCTGGCATGGTAATGGCTGATCCTGCAGAGCAAATACAAAGACTTGCCGATTCTGCCAGTACATCCACAGACATGCTTCTGTGAGCATGTAAGACATACTGCTGCTGTACAAATAGCACAGGAAATTACCCATAGCAGATCTATACAGGTGGTGCTGGGGGAGGTGGAGGGTTTCAGAACCACAAAATTTTAATGTTGAGCAGCAAGCTCATTATGCAGCAGAGACCAATCAGTTCATGCCAAGTAGATGTCATTAAGGATTCAAATGACTTGTACAGCCAATTCAATTATGTGCAAAGACAAGTTCAGTTGCTGCCTTAAATTTTTTATTTGAATTAAGTTGAATTTTTTTTACAGTGGGCCAAATGCATAAATATAAATTAATCCTCAGTGTGTTGCCTCCTCCTCCACGTCCAACTGTTTAAAACATGTCATCGTTTATGCGTTTCTATCACCTTAATGCACATTTTGACTTACTTCAGAAAAACCTTCCTGAAGTCGGAATGAAATGAAAATTCACTCTTGCATTTTTAATGCATGTTATGGATCTTTTTATGAACGATTAATTTGAGCATATGTTTCATTTTTTTGTTTAATTTACGTTTAATTTTGAATCAAAAAATGTATCTCTGGTGGTGAATGTAGGACTTCTCCAATCATTTAGTCCACTTAAACCCAGCCCTGCAAGCTCATGAGCATTTATTTGCCTCCTATTTTGAGTGTTCTTTTTCATTACACATTTGTTCGTCACAATGCTCTAGAAATGACTCTATCGCTACTTCTGTTGCACTGCAACTTCTTTTTTTACATTTGAAAAAATTGTTGGATATAAACTAAGCAAATGATACCTTAAAGGGATAGTTCACCGAAAAATTTAAATTCTGTCATCATTTACTCACCCTCAAGGTTTAGTCATTAGTATGGAGAAAAAAAAATACTTTTGAACGCAATGGCCACCAGCAACTGTTTGGTAACCAACATTCTTCAAAATATCTTAATTTGTGTTCAACAGAAGAAAGAAACTCATACAGGTTTGGAACAACATGAGGGTGAGTAAATTATGACAAAATGTTCATTTATGGGTGAGCCATCTCTTTAAAACGATTCAAATATTCAAGAGAAAAGAGAGCAGAATAAATAATGAAAAGCTAGCATTGGGGAAAAAAGCTGAAGCATGTTGACAGCAGTTAGCAATGCCTAAAATACCAGCCGTTCAGTATGAACAGCCTCTCAGAAAGCTTTTAGTGTACTGTGCTGCTGGAGCAGATGAGAGCTGCACAGAGAAGGTTTAACACACAACCTTTGACCGTAACTCAGCGTGTGAATGTGAGATGTGTGAAGCTCCACAGTTCAGTTGCCTTTGCACAGACATCCCTTGCTACATGCAGTGTATTTACACTTTTAAAAGTGTAAACATCCAGTTGTCACCCTGAGGTCATATCTGTCAGTAAGCCCACACACCAGTAGGCTGAGGGTTACGCGGACTTTTAAAAGTCTTGGAGATGCTTTACTGTTTTTCTTCAGAAGACTTAGGATTTAGTCATGTGGAACACTTTTATTTTAGCCAAAACAGATTTGGAGGGTCGAAATCATTCACTGAAATGGTGACGTTTAATTAGCACCGCTCTAATGAGACATTTTGACAGTGTCAGTGTCTATTTTCTGCAAACACAATGGATGAACCACAACAGGCTAACTTGTCAGCTGTGTGGATGCTAGAGCTGGTTTAACAATATAAATTTCTCAATTTTAATGGATCTTCATTTTGATCAACCAAGATCTTTAGTCTTTTAGTCTATGCTATTTTCAGTTGATGCCTGAATAAAACATCACTAAACATTATTTGATATGAATATGAAAAGTATGTTGAAAAAAAAACAGTACAACTTACTAAAATGTATCATGACTCATGTAATCGCCCAATCAGTGTTTCAAGTGCGAAAAAACGTCAGTAAAACATCTTCAAAACAACTTCTGATGCTCAGAAGTTATGGAAATTAAAAATGTAAAACTGTAAAAGTGTTAGAACTGTTGCGTTTACATTCCTTAAAAATGGTCTATATTACATTTAGATTATATTTTTACCCTGTCTTCAATATTTAATGCATTTTTTAATAAATCTGTCATGAAAACAGGTTTTTCTGACAGCCACCATTTAAATGTATATATTTAACAATGACTTAGAGTAGAAACATAAGTGTATCATTAAAAAGTTGATATAAAATCTGCCTTATGTGCAATTTAAATGTTTATACTCGGATTTGAGTGTTAATAGTTAAATAAATATGATTAATTACATGATTAATTTAATTTTCAGCTAAATTAATTTCAGGTTCGGTAATAAAATTTATTTCAGTGCATCACTACTTTTATTGTGCATTTTGTCCTTTTTATAGAGGTTTGTTAAAAAAGAAAAGTTTTATATATCATGCTTCAATTCCACTTCAAGTAAATGCCACCATATAAACTATAATTCAATATAAAAACAAATATATAAAACATATACATAAATATACAAAATAAAAATAAAAATATACAAAAAAAACATATAAAACAAATAATATCACTTTTGTTAAACATCTGGAACAGGTATGATGTTAGATTTAACAAATGTGCTATAATCATATTTAATGAATCTAATGCATCATCAAGCCATTAACTTTTGCTCTTCACGTCACACTGTGTAAACAAGGGCTCACCAAACTCAAAATGACAAATGATTAGCTGGTTCAGGTGTGTTTGATTAGGGTTGCAGCTAAACTCTGCAGCGCACCGGCTGTCCAGGACCGAGTTTGGTGGCCCCTGGCCTAAACTGAGGTTTTGAGAAAGCAACTTTTAAAGGTGCTATATAAAATAAATGTATTATTATTATTATGTTCTGAAATAGAAGCAAAATTGTCACCTGAATCAGCTACCAACATTTGCAAAATGATGAGATACATTTTAGTAAGGATTCTCTTAAATGTAAAGATTTCACTGCTCTACCGTTGGAGAAAGAGCAACCGTCTTGATAACCAAAACATTACAACAGCCTTGACATCACTGAATTTCTGTCAGAGTTAAATCTTAAAGGGGTCATATGATGCGATTTCATGTTTTCCTTTGTCTTTGGAGTGTTAAAAGCTATTCGTGCATACAGAAGATCAGTAAAGATTAAAGTCTCAAACCCAAAGAGATATTCTTTATAAAAATGAACGCTCAGCCACGCCGTCCTAAAACGCCTCGTTTAAACACGCCCCCACATGTCTACATCACTGTATGGGAAGATTTGCATAACACCGCCCAAATGTATACGCAAAGAAAGAAGGCTGGTTTTGTTGCGAAAGCCAAACTACTTTGTTTGGTCTTCCAAAAGAGGACACAACTAGAAATCAGTAGTTTTATTTACAACACTGTTGCAGAACAGTACGACCCAAATATTCAAGTGTGTGAAGCGCATCTTACGGAGGAAAGTTTCCTGAACCTGGTAAGGGGCGTAACATTTCTGTCACACGCTTGAGGAATTCGGCCAATCACAATAGCTGGATAGCTGGCCAATCAGAGCACACCTTGCTTTTCAGACCGATGAGCTTTGTAAAAATCGACACGTTTCAGAAAGGCGGGGCATAGAGGAGAAACAATAATGTACAGTATGTGGAAAATAATGTGTTTTTTTAACCTTAAACCGCATAAACACATTTCATTACACCAAATAATGTTTTTTAGCAACGTCGTATGACCCCTTTAAATCTGGCTCTAATTTTAGCATCAATTACAAATGTAACCTTTACTTGAACACATCTGTTTCTCCTTCTCACCTGGTTTTCAGCACTGCTGACTGAGTGCTGGTCTAGAGCAACATCGCCCTCTATGCGCAGTTCTGGCTCAGGGTCCGCTATGGGAGCTTTGGGTTCTTCCTGGCTGTTCTTCTCCCGGGCACTCTCCGTCTCCACCCCCTCGCCCTCAGAGCACTGTGAGCGGCGCTTCAGGAAGGAGGAGAAGAGGCGGGAGAGGCCGCGGCCAGCGGAGGTGCGCTGACGCGGCTTCAGCTGCTGTTCCTCCTCCGAGCCCCCAGGGGGCGGTGAGGTGCCGGAGGGGCTGTCCTGAGCGGTGTCAGCGGGGCCTGGCTCCTGTGCAGCGGGGTCCTCCTCTTCCTGCTGCTGCTCGCACACCTGTTTCTTATGAACACTCTCCGCCTCGTCTGTGGTCATGGCAGTCGCTGCAGGAAGAGACGGTTCGGTTAAAGTCACGTATCTGTTTTACAGCAATGTTGAAAGTAGTACTTTAAAACTGTCCGGATGGTATACTATTTCCAGTGGATTTTCACAGTATGTGTCTGTCCCAGTACCACACTTGCGGCCTAGGCACTTCAGAATGTGTGCATGCAATAAGTGCGTAAAAAAAAAACAATGCTCAGTGCCCTTAAC